AACCAACAGAACCACCAGAACCATCAGAACCACCAGAACCATCAGAACCACCAGAACAGAACCACCAGAACAGAACCACCAGAACCAACAGAACCACAAGAACCATCAGAACCACCAGAACAGAACCACCAGAACCATCAGAACCACCAAAACAGAACCAACAGAACCACCAGAACCACCCGTCCTCCGGACCCGTCCTGGTAGGATCAGAGGAACGGCGCCGTGCAACAGAACCGGATTTGAACTGAAAACGTTTTTCCTGCTTCTCTGAACCGAATCTGTTTTAATACTGAAGTTTCGCTGCATGTGAATCTTTTCCTGCAGAGTCGGAGGAAACGGCAGCAGAAACTCCAGTTTGATCTCTGATGGTTTAAAGCTCCTGGTTTTATTTTCTGGGTCTTTTTCCATTTGGACCTGATGGTCCCACAGATTTCCTGGCACCAGAACTCATTTCTCTTCCACTCAGTGACTCACTTGCCTCAGACGTTTCCAATCTCTGCATCTCCAGGCCTTGAAGAGGCAGAAGAAGAAGAAATGGACTGGGAGGACCGAGCTGAAGACCCGACGACCCAGAGTCCTGCAAAAGTCAGTCCATCGGGTCCATCGGGTCCATCGGGTCCATCGGTCCATCGGGTCCATCGGGTCCATCGGGTCCATCGGGTCCTGGTGAGCCAGATAAAACATGGAAACCAGTCTGTCCTTCATTAGATGGATCATTGTTACTGATTCCTGCAGCGTTTTCATGTTACATGTTTTTATGAGGCTCATGCTAACGTGTTTGTTACAGATGTTCGTTAAAGTTTTTCTAAATCCTCCTGATTGGGTCAGAAATGCTCAGAAGTAAAAGTGAAATGTTTGTTTCTGAGTTTGAATGAAAAGCTGCAGTGATTCTTTTCCTCTCCAGGAGGCGCTAACAGCTGATCTCAGGTTTTCTGTTGCCGTCAACAGCCTCCATTTCCTCACCATTTTTAGGAGGCTGGTCAAACAACAATAGTCTTGTTGTGTTGGTGTTCAGAACCGGATCGTCGCCTCGTTTGAGCGGTGATTGGTCTGAAGTGTGAAAGGGGCGGGGCTAAGCACACAGCCCAGAGGAGCTCCCCTGCTCAGGATGATGAACGTTTCCCACTGTTTAAACTGAAATGTTCTGGATCTGCTGCAGATCAGGTCCAGTGGGTCCATGAAAGAGCGACCCCCACGGGCCGCCGTCTCCATGGAGCCCTGCTGGTGTTTATTATGGGATGGATCAGACATCCCATAATGCTGCTGGCGCCGCGCCGTCGGGTCTCAGCACAGCATCTCAGAGGAACTCGCTGCTGGATGGAGCCGGTAAACAAAATGCTCAAACCACTGAAAAACCATGCAAATAAAAATACAGTTGCTTCAGTTACATATTTGATGATAAACATTTGATGATAAACATTTGATGATAAACATTGATGATAAACATTTGATTATAAACATTTGATGATAAACATCTGATGATAAACATTTGATGATAAACATTTGATGATAAACATCTGATGATAAACATCTGATGATAAACATTTGATGATAAACATTTGATGATAAACATTTGATGATAAACATCTGATGATAAACATTTGATGATAAACATTTGATGATAAACATCTGATGATAAACATTTGATGATAAACATCTGATGATAAACATTTGATGATAAACATCTGATGATAAACATTTGATGATAAACATTTGATGTAATGTCCGACTTGGTTCATCACTGAAACTCAGTCTGGATATGGAATAAAGTGAGCTGAGATTTACTTTTCCCATCATGTCCAGCACAATCTGCAGGTTCTGACTGCAGCTTCATAAAATCAGGTTCTGACTGCCGGGTCATCGGCGCCGTTTCCCTGATGAAAACCTGCAGCAGGTGGAGAAACGGTTTTCCTCTCCACTGCGTCTGTAACGACGCCCTGAGGCTCCGGGAATCCTGGCACTCATCAGGAGAAACTTTAATATGCTGCCAGCAGTGAATGAGCTTAACATTCGCTCCAGCTGCACCTTCAGAGGAGGAAGCAGGTCAGAGGTCATCTCAGAGGTCATCTCAGGGTCACTAGTACTTCCTGTTTCTTCTGTAGACGCGCTGAGGATCAGATCATGATGTTCGATTGTTCAGGAAGATAAATCTGTCAACGGCTGCAAAACACATGAAGGATAAAAACTCCAAAACAAATAATACTGCAGGAAATGGAAGAAAAAGGGGAAAATTCTGCAAACTTCCTTCAGTCCTCCAGACCACTAGGGGGAGTCAGCAACCAAATTTACAGGATTTGACCTAAATAATGACAGCATGCCTGATTTAACAGGACTCAGTCTGTCACTGTACTGAGCTGCAGCATGTTGACAGATGTGATTTTAGCCACACTAGACTCCCCCTAGTGGCCTGGAGGGTAATTTCACCTACACAGACGCACTGCTGTTCTATAATATTGCAAACGGCATAATAAGGAAAATGTAGATAGAAAAACAAAGGAGTAAATTATCACCAAAACATCTGAGATTAATCTCAGAAATTTAGAATGTTTAAAATTTGCTTGAAAACTTTTTTTTCCAGATTTTCCAAAGTCTTTAAAAAATCTTTACAATTTGAAAAAGCTGAAATTTCTGAGTTTCAAGTTGAAAATTTTCCAAAAAAAACCCTAGAAGAATTTTTGGGTAGAAGTTTGCTCCTATTTTTCCTTCTATTTTCAATGAGCTTGATTTGTTTTTATGACATGAAACACAACACAGGAGGAGGAAAAGGAGGAGGAGGAAGAAGAGGAGGACGAAGACGGTACGGCTGTCAAACAGGACGCAGCTCAGGGTTTCATACATAAAACCAGAAGTGAACCTGAAGTCACTGAACCGCCATCTTGGTAGGCAGCGCACACAAGACTTAGATGAACCATAATTCTATTCCAACTGCCATGACAGTTCCATATGCCTACCAAGATGGCTGCCAGCTACAAAGTTAGAAGTACAGAGTTAACTGAGGACAATCATTTAAAGGTCTCAAAATGCTGCTTTGTCATTAGGGCGGAGCCAGGTCCAAAGAGGGCGGAGCCAGGTCCAAAGAGGGCGGTGCTGTTCTTCGCCTGGTCTCTGCTGGAGGCCGTCAGTCTGACCGACATCCAGCAGCCGGGCGGCCGAGGTGAGCCGCAGCTCCGACCTCAGGACGCTGGCGGTGAGGCGTTTAACACATGAGCTGCTGAATGTCTCGTCCAATCAGAATGCAGCTCCTCCTCCTTCAGCGTGTACAGCAGCGGCGGTGGGCGGAGCCGCAGGGAGCAGATGTACGGCTGCTACTGCGGACAGGAAGGGGCGGGACTTCCTCTGGACCAGCTGGACAGGTCCGCACGGCCTCATGGGAATTTATTTAATAAATCCCACCTCAGAGTGCCTTCAAAAATAGATAAAATTAAATTCATTTATTCAATATTTTACTGATTTTGATTTTTCTGCCTTTTATTTGAAATTGCTCAATGTTTGTTAAAAGTTGAAAAATTGATTCTTAAATGCAGAAACATTAAATTAAAAATCAAATCTAGTTGGTGTCTTTTAACCCATTTCTTGTTCCTGGTTTTTTTCTGTATTTCTGATGTTTTTGGAAGCACATATGTTCTCAGGTTAACATTTTCATCATTTTTCTGTTTCCCTCATCTGATGTTGCTTCTTCCATCGCTGCTGCCTGAAGCAGGTCGGATCCCTGGGCTGCCGCGCCGACAGGAAGCTCAACGCTCACATTTCCTGCAAGAGCCGCAACAAACCGCGATGTGAGTCAGTTTACCGTCCGAGTTTTTCATATTCAGCATAAATCAGAAGCTGCTGGTGAAACGTTGTAATGCAGCTGCTTGCTTACAACACAGGGAGGCAGACCTGTTTCAAAATAAAAGTATTTAGAGGTCACTTTGATGAAGCTTGTTGGGAAGCAACAGGTCAGCTTCAGTAAAGTTTTTTTTTCCCAGAATGCATCGCTGCTTTGACAGGTTTCTATTGCATTTTTTCTCTCAGTTTGCAGAAACTCCCAGGTTTCTTTCAGGTTTATAAAATGCCTTTAAACTGTTTTTCTTTTCTGCATCGTTGCAGTTTTGAGCCTGGAACCTGCTTTCTGTAACGTGTGACCTTTGACCCCACAGGCTGCGTTTAGTGAGTTCAACCCAGGACCAACCGGTTCCTTTCTGCAAAGTCAGACATCATTAAACTGGACCTAAAGAATCCTTTCAGTTTAATGCTGTTATAAGAAGTGCAGGTTCTTTCCTGCTATGAACCCAGAACCAGAACCAGAACCAGAACCTCAGGAGTTCAGAGGATTCTCTTACAGGAAAAACTTTATTTCTGGTGAACTTTAATATTTCACAGGATGTTTGCTGTGAAAACATTTTGTCCATCAGGACATTTTGAGTTCCATCCGACGTCGTCCAGAATCTGAATCGTCGCCGTTTCCGCCTGCAGGTCAGGGGGTCACTGTGTGCGACAAAACCACAGCGCGGTGCATGGCTGCAGCGCACTTCAACCACATCCTGCCGTCGCAGCGCTGCAGCGGCTCGGCGCCGCCCAGCCGACAGGCCCCCGACGGAACCGGCCCGGTCCGGTGAGGAGAGCAAACCCAGCCGGTCCGAGACGAGTTCTGCTCAGGATTCAGACAGGTCAGAGTGGAGCAGCTCAGGGCCGACTGCTCGGGTTCAGGGCAGCAAACCTCTTCGGTCCAGTTTCTGATGTTCCATTAGTGAAGAACTGACAAGCAGCTTGAGCTTCACCTGCACTGGGAGATAAAATCTCCTTTATGCTGGAATCATTTTTACTGTTTTATTGTTTGCAGTGATGAAAGTTCTGATGTAATGAATCCCGACTCCTGCTGGACCATCTGGAGCCGAGACCAGAGAGCTGCAGACGGTCGGTGGGATTCAGAACCAAAACCGAGTCCCGGCGGACAGACCGGGGGAGGAAGAGGAGGAAGAAAACTAAACCAACCACAGAAAACACTGCGACTGAAATGCTTCAATAGAAACTTTTAATTTGAATCTTAAATTTCAACACATTGTGAGACGTGATGGAAACGCCGAGGCTCTGCTGCAGCTCAGGAAACGAGAAGAGAAAACCCAAACATCCACCGTCAGCTTAGAGCCCTGAACCAAAACGACATCATTTCCTGAACCTGCAGGAAGAGCTGAGCCTCGGCGCCACCTAGTGGTCATAACTCACTGATTAACAACTCTGAAGGTGAACAGAGACGAGACGTTTCTCTACAACAAGAACACAGACGGCTGCACCAGACCATGAAACGAGGCGGCGCCATCCCGGCGGCGTCCCGCAGTGAGGCCGGTCCAATCGGGCCTCGAGGTCGACCAGCTGAACATTCAGAGTAAAAACTTTTCCATTCGTACCGTTTTTGTGCCTCAGAACAGTTTTAAGTGCAAACAAGGGGAACCGCGATCCATTTGGGTTTGACAGAGCTGATCTCTCCTCCACTCAGCAACTAATACTGACAAACTTTATGTGCAAAAAGCAAAGAGTGATCTGAACCCCGGTGGGGGGCCGGGGGGTCTGCTGGTGATTTCTGACCAAAACACCAATTAAATAAAATGTTTAGACCGAAATTAAAAATCTATAAGAGCTAATTTTCATCAAAATAATCGCTACGATTAGAGACAGACTCGTGATTGGATTCAGTTGCTAAGCGACGACAAACAACAAGAAACGGTGATTCAGCATTTTTTCAATGATTCAGCATTTTTTTCAATGATATGTCTGAAATCTACCAGGCAGCAACTGAAGCATGAAATGTACAAAAATATACCATCTGCTGAGTCAGCAACATTCATCACGTTTCCAGCCACGTCTCAAACCAGCCAGTCACCGGACCGGACCGGACCGGACCGGGCCGGACCCGGCCAGGCGGTAAACCGTCGGGTTCTGGACGGATCGGGTTTCACAAACGGCTCAGTTTGCTCCAGTTGGATCTGAATGCTTTGGATCAGGTTTCTGTACAGACGCTGGTGGACGATCCGAACCTGCACAGATCAATTATTACTAATTAATATTACTAGACTGATGTCGATGCTTTGTGATCAAACTCTTGGCAGCCGGACAGCAGCCCGTCCTCGACCAGAACCTCAGATTACAAACCGAACCTGAAGTTCTGGGATCTCAGGTAAAAACCGCCCAGAACTTTAGATTCTGGAAATCCTCTGGTGGAGAAGAACCAGGCTGAACGTCGAGAAACACTGAAAAATATTCACTATAGATTTAATTCAGAAACTAAACTGGATTAACTTTAATATTAATTAACCTGTCAGTTCATTTGCTTTAACTTTAGTCAATAAGGGCTCCCACCCCTAGTGGTCATGGTTGGTATTGCACCTTCAGGAACTCCCATGTTAATCCGTTTCCATCTTTTGGACCCGAACTCAGCGGTTCGTTCTGAATACGTTCCCACAGATGTTCTGCTGGTATGGGTCTAGTTAAAGTAATGAATCCAATGCTTTAACAGGCTCAGGTTGGTGAATAAAAACCATCAAATTTCACTGTTCAGGAATCCGAGCTCAACGTACAGAACCACCAGAAACGATTCGGTTCTGATCCAGCTGGATGCGCCCCGGATCGATTGCTCATGTCTGATCAGACCAGAGGAATGTTCTGGTAACCAGAACCAGCTGCAGCCCGACCAGAACCTCAGGAACCTCCACACTCAGAACCGACCCACTTCGAAAAACTTTACACTCTTGGGTTTAGCAGCCATGACAACAACCTCTAAGATTTTCCAGCGTTTTAAACCAGCTGTAAGAAGATCCAGGAATATCGATGCATCTTTGATTTAAAGGGTTGATCACATTTTATAATCTGGAAATAATCCAGATGTTTTAATCCCAACTCGCCTGGTGAACCGAGAACTAGAAGTAAACGCTTCGGTAGAGCCGTAGCATCATTAGCCAGTTAGCTGGTCAGGCAGTAGCCACCAAGCTAAAGCTTTAAGTCCGTAAATAGTGATGCGCTGCCCCCTGTGGTTCCTGTGCTGAACTGCATGATGGCGATGGGTGGAAAAAAATGAATGATGGCTTCCACTTGGTTAAATACGTGGCAGCCATATTGGATTTTTATTTCCAGGTTAATAAAATCTGTAATTCTTGATAATTCTGCTTAATGATGCAAAATGTTGAAGCTTTTCTGCTTATTTTGGTCAAACATTAAAATCCAAAGACATATTTCTTCCATCAGACCTAAAATATTTCATCATATTTCACCAGTGAAATATGTAAAGGTTTTATTTTATCCTTAAAAACCTAAATATGAAGGGATTTCACACCAACACTTCTAGTGGCTGTTTTGTGTCTGAACACAGAGGGCAGATTTAAACTGGAATTACATTCATTTTAACATCACTATATTCATTATACTTGCATGTCATTTTAAAACTGAACATTTTTATCATTTTGTTCTCGACTTTGCTTCAGAAAAATGAACTAATTGAGTTTATTTCTAAGTTATTCCTGGAAAATCTGCCAGACAAAATCCCATTTCACCGACTTCCTGGATTGAACAAATACTAACATTTCAAATTTGGCCAAATTTTAATCCAAGAATCATTGTAAAAGTTCTGATTTTGTTCATCTTCAAATCCTTAAAAAGCTTCAGGAATAAAAGCTGGATCCGTTTCACCAACCATGAGCCGTTTGAACTGATTGCTTTTCGTGTTTTTCTGAGTCAACACAGACGATCGATCAGCTGGTAAAACCTGCAGGCGGTTTGGATCCAACAGGATCGTTTAGTTTTTCTACACAGCGTGAAGCTTAAGCATCGACATCAACAAGGAGCGTAAAGCGGTTTGCATTGTTCTGGTTTTGTTGTATTTGACCGTTGGGTTCAGGGACGTGAATCGGAGAAACGACGTGCGGCCGGTTCAGCCCGCCGCATGTCCGAGTCTCTGATTGGCTCCCTGCCGCCTGGCGGCGTGCTGATTGGAGGAAAAGCGGAGGTTGCCCTCGTTGACGTCCAAGCGGCTCAGTAGACGCACAGATCCGGGAACTTCATCTCGTAGACGGGAATGGACGGATGCTGGGTGTGACCCGCCGAGATGGAAACCACGCCGGACGGGCTGGGCGGCGGCCTGCCGGGGAAACACGCATCATCATCATCATCATCATCATCATCATCATCATCATCATCAGGAGAAAACATCCAAACTGGTTTCACTGGTTTATCACCAGGGAATCAGTTTCTGACTCTTACTTTCATTTTTTAATGACTTTTGTCATAAAAATGAGGTTTAATTGGTTTTTAAAGTGCGATTGGTGATCTTTATTTGTTGTTTTTATTTAAATGCTGTTTAGTTTTAATTAGTTATGATAATAGTTTCAGCTTTTAATACTGTGGTTAATTTTTAGGTGCCAAATTAAATAAACATTGTGGTTATGTTTACATTGATGGGTAATGGAGAATCAACAGAAGGAGACATTTAAACGTTAATCACTGAACCGACTTTGGCCTTTAGTCAAAACTTTTGCTGTTTTGCTGACAGGTTTAAATGGGAGGAACATGAAGTTCATCATAAATAACTTCAGTTCAAAAGGTTAATAAATATGAACATGAAGAATATCTAAATTCTTCATCGTTCTCGTTAGTTTACGTTGACCAACATATCTTTGGCGTATTCACTAATATTTGGTGCTGAATGATCAAAATGGTCTCTGGGATCCTGAAATGTGGCTTCATGCTGCAGATCCTGATCTCAACCAAGACTTACCGGATGGTGAGCTCAAAGATCTGAGCCAGGCGGTCCTGGAGCAAGTTGGCCTGCAGGAAGGAAGGAGAGTCAGGAGACGCTTTCGGACCCGGTTCTCCATCACCAAACAACATGTTCAGGTTCTGTTCAGGTTCTGTTAACCGTCCCGGTTTCCCACCTTGGACTCGCAGTGAGCAGCGATCTCCTCAAACGGAGCTTTCTGGAACTTCTCCATCACCTGACGCCTCTTCTCCCTCTCCTGCTCCTCCAAGCCGGTCGTATCTGCGTGAGACCAGAAAACGACACGTCGGGTTCTGACTCAACACAATTTGGTGAAATAGAAACAGCAGAAATATCGACTGAGTAATGAGTTCAACCGTAACATTCATGGGGAAAAGCAGCCATCAGGTTCTGTTAGCTAACCTGAAACTAATGAACCCACATTTATCGAAGGTCAGAGAAACTGTGAAGCAGCAGGTTGTTTGGAAATAAATGCTCACAAAACCTCAGGAACATCAGTGGAAGTGGAGACATGAGTCCAAACAGAAGGGTTGTGATATGAGTTTGTCACAACGTATAAAATGAACAGAATTAGTTTCTGTGATGACGGAGGAGCTGGATGATCTCACCGATGGCCTTCTTCAGAGTCTCGAACGTAATCTCCTCAGCCAGCTCCGACTGCTGAAGGGAGAAACCCAGACAATGTGATTCAGTGGGAACTTTTCACATGAATCAGCTTTAAAAGTCGTTTTTAATCTTTTCATGAGAGACTTTGTGAAATGAGTCAGACCTTGTCTGGCAGGCTGTTGGAAATGATGTCCACCTGGAGGGAGATGGCGTCCACAAAACTCTTCCTGCGGTTCATACGGTCTTCATCTGCAACAACAGACAGTCGCATCAGCAAACCGCTGCGTCGGCAATATTTTTAAAACATCTTCTGCCATAATGACTCAACACTGAGAGAGCATTTCTAAAACAGTCCATATATGGAGGTGATGAATCGTTTGGATGAACTGAACCAACATTTTAAATTGGAAAAAGTCAGTCTGAACAAAATGGACGCCGTTAGCAAACAAAGTGGTTTCTCTAAACGTTTTTTCTGCATGTTGATCATTCGCTGCAGCAGCAAGTTGTTCCTCAGTGTCTGAGCCAAATGAATGATTTAATGATTGCAGAGCAAAATGTCAGTGATCATCTGTTCCCAGAACATTTTGACTGAAGCAGTGAAACCCTGCAGACTAAAAACTTAGACTTTTAGCTGCTTCCATTCACAGCTGCTCTGTTGATTCAAACTCCTCTCAGAACAAAAATGCTGGTCAGAACTGGAGCAGAAATGACAGATTCCTCGTCTCTAACAGACCAGCCACACCATCGAGCTTTTAAATTTCTCAGTAGAGTGCTGGTCTGTTGGGTCTCCAAACTATTGCTTCCTTTGAGTTCTGTGTAAACAGATGAAGGCAAGTTTTACATAAATAAACTAGAAAAGTATAAAAATTAAGTTCAACTGACTTTTAGTATCTAAAATTGTCTTGTTGGTTAAAACTATTTTTGAAGATAAAATTATTTATAATCGGTTGAAATGATCAAATATTTGTAGAAAGCAACAGACTAATCTTTCTGGAGAAGTTTATCCAGAACTTTTCTCATAGCTGTGGTTTTATAGACGCTGTTTTAGAAACCAGCCTCAGGTTCAGCCGGAGCGCTCCGGTTTTCCACAGGGGAACAAATGGGATTCATCCGGGCCGAACCGAGTCCGGTGAGGTTCTGAAAGCTGCCCCGGAGCGCCGCTGTTTGTTCTGCAGGAGGAGATTAAAGTGCAGCAGAGTTTGACTGAGCAGGTCAGCCGAGGTGTGAAAACAGGAGAGAAACGCGGCGCGTTTTAATTAACTTCCTCGATGAGTCACGGCGACCTTTGCTGCGAACGGAGCAGGAATGACTCAGCAGTCGCCACTAACGAGGAACGTCGTCCCAAAAGAAAGCCGGGCTCTTACTTCACTGACATTTACTCTTTATGTTTCCTAAACTCTTAAACATTTAGAGGAAAGCAGAGAAAAGCCTCAGGATGAAACTCCAACAGGAAGAACATCGTTTACTGCAGGTCACTTCTGAACATCATCAGAAAATCTCACTGCAGTGTTGAAAACGGTTTTGGTCACTTTCTTAGTATTGAGTTTGAAAATATCGCTACAAGCAAAGCAGATGGAGATAAAAATGCACATGAAGCTAAAAACAGAAACATTTATTTTACACCAGGAAGCAAAACTAAAAACTCGCCTGAAACTCAGTGAAACTTCACAGCAGGAACATAAAACTTCAGCTAATCTGCTAATGGAGGAAATCAGTTTCTGTTTTGTGCTTTTGGTAACTTTGACCACATTTGGCAAACTTAACTCCCCCTGATGGTAAAGAAAATCACTGTAAACCAGATTTGACCCAAATTGCTTTGAATTTTTCTGTTTGTTTTCCTGCATTCAAGTTTAAGCCGTGAAAATGTCCCAGTGGATTTGGATGGTGTGATTTTCTGTATTTTCATCTTGATTTCATCTCCTCGGGCCTCCAGACTCAGATCTGCGCCCAGCGACAGCAGCAGCAGCCTCTTCTACTCACATCTGGGTGAAACTGAACGCAGTGAACGTCGCGGAGATGGAACTACTTTATTATCCTGACGTAATAAAGTACATCAGTTTCAATAGATGGTGATGTGAAAGTCGCGTAGCTAAACCAAAAAGAAACGGCTGATTTATTTCACTCTAAAATAAAAACAGATTAGTGCCAAACACAATCCAACTACCAAACTACTTACATGAACTACATCCTGAAATACTCACCACAACGAGTCCAGACGCAAAGCAGGTAAAATAATTAGACAACATAATCAGATTCATTCTCATGTTTTGGTTTAGTTTTTAATAGTTTGTCCTGATCGGTTATAAAAAGATCATTATTTTTGTCTTTTTTTTTTTATATAAATATTTATTTACTTATTCTGGTCATTTTTTGTATAGTAAAGGATGTGGGCGGAGCCTGACCAGCGGACCAATCAGAGCGCTCGAATCCTCGGCAGGAAGGAAGTCTCTACAGGGACTAAACCAGGAAGTCTCAAGGTTTTGTAGCTAAACTAAATCTAGATAATCTAGTGTAGCGTTTACCTCTGGACGTCTGCTTGCACCTGTGGATGATTTTTTACTAAAGAACTGAACACGAGGCAGCAAGAACAGAGCGAAAGGTTCAGTTAGAGCAGAAATACAGCTTCACCTCATCCCAACACTTCAGGTTTTACTCTTCATACTTTAATGTAACATGTTTATGTCTTGTGCATCATTTTTAGACAGTTTTCTGCAGTTCATGACGATATTTAGGGTTTTATTTGTTTTTAATTATGTCAGTTCCACATTCTTTATAAACCTCTGAAAAACTGCCAGCAATATTTAAAAAAGCAGAAGTTATAAGACACACGTTGATCTGGAAACATCCTCCTCTGTAGACATTTTCAACGTCATAAATCATGTGACAGGTTGGGTGATTCCAGCGGAAAGACGAGGAAAGTTCAGCCGGTCGTTGACACTGGATGGGGTTTCTGCAGCCACACCATACAGCTGCTATATGGACAGGTAATTACACATCGCTACTTCTGTCATTTTAAAATGTCAGACATTTGCCATCTTGAATGGCTTTAAATACTTTTCCTGATCAATCCCAACAGGAACCTTCCTGTGAGCGCTAAAGCCGGCGGCGTCGTACCTGTGACCTGGGGAATGTAAGGGATGGACAACCTCTCCACGTTGTATCCTGGACCTGCCAGGGACTCTGCCATGCCCGCCGTTTGGAAATACAGCGGCTTGTCGTCTTTGTTCAAAGCCTCAGGAAGGCTGGAGGACGACAGGAAGACGTTACATCAGAATGTGACGGCCATGCTAAGGTGGATGTGAAGGTCGAAAACCTAAATCTGGTCTCATCAGCAGATTCTGGTTCATTTCCTCACTGAGAAAAAGTTAATTATATTCCTCTTAGTCAGAATTAAAGGTCAACTGATCACCATTTAGTGCCCTCTGGTGGAAAGGTGGAGGACTGCTGCTGTTTTTAATAAAATAACCAAACTCACTGTAATGTTTGGAGTCATGATATAAAGTAATTCTAACAGCAGATTCACTCGACATCATGTTTCATGTTTCTTTAGTCTGAGGCGAGTTGCTGTACAAACATGGCGGCTCCATCGTGTGTTCAGACTCCTCAGGTCAGGAAACAACAAATCCTTCTGGTTTAGATCTGCTGCAGAGTGAAAACTTACGGACACTTGTCTCTGAAGATGTGTTCAGGCAGGAGGTACGGAGCGTCCATGTTTCTCAGCTCGATCACCTGAAGAGGCACAAATCACCAGAATTATGACTCAAGGCGCCTGGGAGTGAAGCTGCAGCAGGAAGCAGGAAGCTACGCTAGCAAAACAAACACGCTGCATGCAACCAGCACCTTGCTGACGTGTTGACAGAACGGCGGGTTGGCGATCATCTGACTCAGGAAGTTGAGGTACGCCGCCACCAGCGCCATGATGCCGCAGCGGATGAACATGGACATGTTCTCCTCGTTGTTCAGAGCCATTTCCTGCAGGAAGCAGGAAGACGCTTACAGACCAGGTTGTTGTCCAGGCAACAACTTCAGCTTCAAGAGGCCAACACGAAGCTGTGCAACGTTTCTCTGCAGGGTGACGCAGCATTACATAATGCATGACGTGGCGGATCTGATGACACGCCAGACATTAACACCTTCATCGCAGGCTGTCAAGTGTTTAGTTGATAAATGTGCTACACAATATAGACCTGCATGTACAGAAAAACCAGCAGGTACTAAGGATGTTACTTTCTGCTGCTTTCCAACATCCTGAGGAGTTATATAGGAGTGGATTATATCTACTGGACTTCCTGGTTCACCATGTCAGGAGTATCAAGTCACTCCATCATAAACCCGCAACATCATTAGAACCTTTTAAATGAAAAACCGTCTGCAGGAAAACATCCGTCAGCAGAGAACATCCTGCGTCACCTGCAGCGCGATGGCGAGGCGGATCAGGTCGATCACCACTTCCTCGTTGGCCAGTTCGATGGTCAGGACGGCCAGGGTGGTGAAGAGCAGCTCGAAGTTCTTGTGAACGTTGTCTTCCTCTTTGCAGCCCAGGTAGACGTGGCGGTAGAGCTGCTGGCCATGCTGCGAGGGAAACCGAGACCAGAACATTAAAGGCCCAAAGATCCAAGTTCAACGATTCGTTCACTCTGGATCACAGAGTGATCACTGACCGAGTGATCACCCACCGAGTGATCACTGACCGAGTGATAATTGACCTAGTGATCACAGAGTGATCACCGACCGAGTGATCACTCTGTGATCCTTTATTTCCTCCTGGATTTCAGAGACGTTGCTGCCGTCATGAAGCCACTGCAGGTTATTCTGTTCCTAAGACCAGTGGGCTCTGTGGGAAACGCTTCGATACGTGTTGCTGTGCATCATGTCTCTGCAGACCAAGAGTCTGTTCAATCAATCCATCAATCAATCAATCAACCAATCAACCAATCAAAAATCATTTCTATTAATAAGAAAACTTAACTCTGGATCCACGGTAGCAACATTAACCAAGAACAGGCTTCAAACATGGAACCTGCTAAATGCAAAGAGTGGAGGCGACCCGGACCCAACGGACCCGGTATCGACCCAACAGACCCGGTATCGACCCAACGGACCCGGTATCGACCCAACGGACCCGGTATCGACCCAACGACCCGGTATCGACCCAGCAGACCCGGTATCGACCCAGCGGACCCGGTATCGACCCAACGAACCCGGTTCGACCCAATGGACCCGGTATCGACCCAATGGACCCAGTATCGACCCAAAGGCAGATGCACAGAACCGTCCTGAAGCCCGACGGTCTCTGAAAGGTTTTCCTCGGCTGCTTTTTGGAAACATTTTGTTCGGTCCATATTACCAGAAGCGAACAGAACCTGAGAAACGATTCAGTCGCTGATCTGGTGAAAAACCCAAAGAATCCGATCCGGGTCACGTTAACGGATCTTGGTTCTGCTCCGTTCTCCTCTGGACTCGACACACATCAGGATCAGACTAATTCCTGCTGTTTGGGTTGTTTGCGTCGGTGTTAATGAAGCGTCACGTCTCCTGGTGGCTCATTAATAGCATCTTAATGGCTGCTGGACAGAAACGACTCCATGACAGTGAAGGATGGCGAACATTAATGTCTGCTGGTGACAGCAGGGGCAGCAGCCGAGGAAACGCGGCGCTTTTATTTCTCCTAATAAAGGGTTTAACAGTGATTCTCGCAGCGTTGTTGAATATTGAAGACTGTTGTCACTTATCAGCCCAAATACGACATACTTTACAATATTCTGGAGTTAAAAGGAACTCTTTAAGTTCGTCTCTCCTCACTATCATAAAACATTGTTTTATAGTCGTTTTGTTTGTTATTTCACATTTCAAACCCTCAACAGTTTGATCAACAAACGAGTCTGAGATCTCCTCCTGCAGAATATCTTTCTTTTAGATTCTTTAAACAGCTTATTTTTCACTTTGAAACTTTAATGCCAAATTCTTGAGCTGCTGTTTGACAGATTCTCATTTCTGCTCAAAGATGAAAAACGTCCAGTTATTTCTGGATGGAAGGCTGCCGGGGCGTTCAGGCGCTGTGGGAGGAGTCACATTTGGGTTCCATTAAAAGCAGAACCGGTTCTGGTTCCGGTTCTGCAGGCTGCAGCTGGTGTGAGAATCACAGGTCAACCTGATCAAGCTGCAGCGTCTCGAGGGAAATGGCTGAACTTCCTGTCGGGGTCAGCGAATCGCAGGATTCCTAAACGGAAACCAGCCGCACATCTCAGATCAGGGGGGATTTTCCCTCCAGGCTGGAATCCAGTTCAGAGGATACAGAGTCTGCTCTCTCAGAACAAGCCTACAAATCATCTGTGGACAATAGTTTGAAGTGAAGCAGAAAGTTTCTACTTTTTACCTTTTTCATGAACGCAATATCTTGTTTGGATATTTTCTCCCTTTTGATCTTCAGAGCTGCAACGTTGGGAATGATCCTGCGGGAGGAAAACGAACCTGTGAGACGCGGCGCTCGGCGCAGGAGGACGATCGTCCGACTGCGCCGCTACCTGATGCCGCGCAGCTTGGCGCGGTTGTCATGGCGATCAATGATGTTGTGGAGGATCTCGAGGACCAGCTGCCTCAACTCGCTGTCCTCCATCAGCGAGATGGAGAAGAGCGGGTCCAGGAAGGGAGGAGGCAGCGCCGCCGACATGGACTTGGACTTGAACCCAGAGGTCACCTGAGGAGGGAAAAGAGTCGTTACTGCAGGGGGCGCCACCGAGCAACGGCAGGATCAACTGAAACACCAAACATTTCACTAAACATGATCAGGTTTTCAGCTGAACTCTGCAACTCCAGGAGCCTCACAGATGAACCCGCTTTAACCTTTGACCCGGAGAGCAGCCCTTAGCCACCTGAGTCATGCCATGTCAGGCTGCTGGGTCACCACAGGCTGGAGCAAATCGTTTCTGTCTGCAGAAACGATTTGCATCATGCAGCTGCATCCGGCTGCATCCACCTGCATCCAGCTGCATCCGCCTGCATCCGGCTGCATCCGCCTGCATCCGGCTGCATCCACCTGCATCCAGCTGCATCCGCCTGCATCCGGCTGCATCCGCCTGCATCCGGCTGCATCCAGCTGCATCCGCCTGCATCCAGCTGCATCCAGCTGCATCCAGCTGAATGCGGCTGCAGCCGAGACCCTCAGAGTTAAGGGTTTGGATTTCTGCATGCACAGCGATGCATTAGGGGTGTTGCAGCAGCTTTTGGAGACATGCATGTCTGCATTTCTCTTTGTTTCTGCTTGTCGGCATTGATGAAGCTTTCCCCAGTTTGTGTTTGCATTTCAGTGTGCATGCTGCATGCTGCATCCTGCATGCTGCATCCTGCATGTTGCATCCTGCATGCTGCATCCTGCATGCTGCATCCTGCATGCTGCATCCTGCATGCTGCATCCTGCATGCTGCATCCTGCATGCTGCATCCTGCCCTGCATGCTGCATCCTGCATGCTGCATCCTGCTGCATCCTGCGTCTCCATAGAAAAACTCAAACTCAACAGAAACACGTCAATTTAGAAAAACATGTTTTGGTAAGTTTTTGCATTAGGATCAGGTGGATGTTTTTTCAGCAGTATTTTTTTCTAGTGAGTCACATGATCAGCAGCCAAATGTTGCTACTGGTGGAAACGAAGAAGAACGACAGGAAGTGGTCGCAGGCTCCGCAGAGCTCAGTCAGTTTCTCACCATGATGAGGGAACTGAGCAGCATCGTCTGGATCCTCTTGGTTCCCTGAGGCCTGAAACCAAACAGAACCAGTCAGTAACTCAGAACATCTGGTCCTTTAATGCTGATAATTCACTGGATTGGACTACATTAAGGTGGAATAGTAAAGGTGGACTGGGAGGATGTGAAGGTGATTCTGCATTGAATCGTTGACATGCTGCAGATTTCAACCTCAGCGCTAAAGGAAGGAAGCCTGTCTGGATCAGGAGGAAGAGGAGGAAGAGAAGGAAGAGGAGTGCCAACGGCGTTCATTAGATTTGGGATTATCTTTCTCTAAACTCTGATGGATTTACTTGATGTTCGTTTTTCCAGCTCGGCGACCGGAAGCTGAAGGCACGGCGAGGCGTTCAGGAGAGTTTTACTTTCTGAACGACGTGGAAAAGATCAGCTGAGGGTCCAGAGCAACAGACACTAATAATCAATTGGTATGAAGATTAATCAATTATTTTATAAATCATTCTGCAGATTTTTCCTTTAAGCACTGAACACTTTTTTACACAATATTAGGACATAAAAAAATAACCGAATTTCTTTAAATAAGAAAATATTTTATTATTCAGTGATATGATTTATGTTTATCCATAAACCAATTAATAATCAGATAGGAAAAGGTGCTTAACATGATATTTCTCTTTTTTTGAATCAGGTGAAGCTAAAACGTTTGGAGAAATTTACAGACCAAGTTTTTTTTTTGTGTGTCTTAAATGCAAAACATTTATATTTTTGTACAGTTTTGGTTTAATTACAGCTCTGAGTCTGTTGTTCTGTTGTTTTGCAGCAGTAAAATGTTTCGTCTCTACATGTCTGCAGATGCTCAACTAAAATTATTTTCTTCTCCGTTTCTGTTAAAGTTTCTGCTGAGGATGACGAAGGTGATGATGAAGAGCAGGACTCTGCGACGCCGCCACGGAAACCCGGGGCGCCGCCACATCACGGCCGACTCACCCGATCTTCACCGTGTCCAAGGTGTGGCACGGCGTCCCGTACACCGGCACCTTCCCCATGATGAACATCATGACTTCGGCTCGCTGGTAATCTGGCAGGTTTCCACCAAAGAACCCTGCAGGGGGCAGCAGAGAGCCGGGTCAGAGCCGGGTCAGAGCCGCTGAATAACCGGCGAGGAGCGCTCTGCCGCACCGATGGTCTGGATGATGGCGTTCTGCACGATGCGCTCGTCGCTCTCCCGGCCGTGCAATGACGACATGCTGCTGCCGGAGTTCCTCCTGGAGCCGTCGCCCAGCTCGAAGTCCACGCTCATCCGCAGGTGTTTGAGCAGCGTGTTGAAGACCTCCAGGACCGTCGGACCTGCCGTCACACCAGCAGGTTACAAACCCAGCAGGTTACAAACCCAGCAGGTTATAAACCCAGCAGGTTATAAACCCAGCAGGTTACAAACCCAGCAGGTTATAAACCCAGCAGGTTATAAACCCAGCAGGTTATAAACCCAGCAGGTTACAAACCCAGCAGGTTACGAACCCAGCAGGTTACGAACCCAACAAATTAGAAACCCAGCAGGTTACAAACCCAGCAGGTTACAAACCCAGCAGGTTAGAAACCCAGCAGGTTAGAAACCCAACAAGTTAGAAACCCAACAAGTTAGAAACCCAACAAGTTATAAACCCAGCAGGTTATGAACGAGAACGAAAACAACAAAAAATCACCAAACTGCAAAAACCAGACCAGGTCTTGGATTTTTGTTTTACAATAATCACTTGATCAACCAGTGATCAACCAATGACCAATCAGTGATCAATAAGTGATCAATCAGTGATCAACCAATGATGACGCCGGGCTCGACAGAGTCCAGTTTAATTCAAAATAAATAAATTAATAATAAAAGTAGAATAACTCAACATTTCTATTAAAAACTTTGTGCTTTTTGACATAAAATGGCAAAATAAATAAATAATTAATTTCTCTTCTGTTAAAAACCAGCTGAATGTTGTGAAAATCAGGCAAAGTTTAACAACCTGCCACAATTTGTCCAGCAAACAAAAGCAGCAATATTAACTGACAAGAGATTCAGTCACATAAAATCCCATTTTCAGTGACACATTTAAGCTTCTGAATGATGTTTGATCCAAAATCCAAATTATGAAGGAGTTTTCTTTTAAAATTGTATAAAAATAAAGCATCCATCATCCATTTGGATGATTCTCTGGGATTTTCTAACACTGTGATAACCAACTATGGCAGAAAATGTATAATAAATGAATGTGATTCTGTTAAAATAATCCAGCTTCATCCCAGATTAATTAGAAAATGTTTTGGTTCAGATGAGCAGCAGCAGTTTTTTGGTTCTGGGATTGAAAGGTGATTCAGTTTTTCTGAAACTAAAATTAGCTCCAGGATGAGCAGACACCTGCAGAAAAGTGCAGCTCAAAGTGACGGCAGGCCTAATTTATTCTGTCACAGAAAGCAACACCTCAGATTATCGGTCAGTGCTGACTGGTCCACCCGGCTGCCTGTGGCCCCCTGGGGCCCCAAACCTCTAAAAAACATTATTTACAAAGCCTGCAGAATTTAAAATGGACAGACGGATTCTTCCTCAGCAAATAAAACTTACTGACCTGAGGGGAGAAGATGTGACATTAACCTGGTTTTGTGAAATCAGAGGTTTAATCTACTTTAACACATCATCTTCTGCTCTACGCACCACTATGAGCACACCATCACAACACGGCTAACCTGCAGCTTCCCGACACTCCGGCTCCGTTTCACAACGAGGAGCGACCAGAAGAATCCACAGAACAACGTTCACTTTGAGAACATCAGATGAACACAATTCATGGTCCTGCTTTGGTATTTTTGGTATTTTCTAACAGTATTTCAATCTGAAATATAAAAATGAGACGCCGTGTTTGATTAGAGCGTCGCGTGTTTCCTGGTCACTCTCCGTTTCCTAAAACTACTCTGGATTACTGGAGCTTTTTACATGAACCCCGCATCAACATGCATCCAAAACGCACAATTTAGGCTTCATTCATATGAAATATTTAAAAATATCCACTGTTGCTTGAATTTATGTCTGAAGTAAAATAACTGAACAAAAACTGAAGACGAGAAACTTGAGAAATAGGAACAAAACAGTCTTTGATTCATTAAGTCAGTTTAGAAAAAAATTAGTCAGAAAGAAATGGAGCAAACATGAAGCTAATCATGCTAATTAGTGGCGTTGGAAATAAACTAAAAAAGAACTAAAACTTTGACATGTTGCACAGGTAATGTTACTGTTTCTGCCTCATATCTAAATGTTTAGCAGAAAATTAATTACTGAGGAATATTATCAGTCACTGATGTCTGCATTTAGACGCTAGCTGACTGTTAGCTACATTATTAGCAGTTAGCTCATTTCTTAGCTGATCTAGCTTGCGTCATTGTCATCTGTAAGGTTAGCGTTTAGCTCCTGTTTTGATTTTCTGCTAAGTTGCTAGCTCCAACTGTGGTTTGACTGTTGTTAGCTGAGCATTAAGCTGCTAGCTCACCTCCAAGCTCACATGTTAGGTCAGCTGTTAGCTACATTTTAGTTTAGATAAAATGTTAGCAAAGTTTAGTTTAGCTAAAAAGCTTCACTGTTGTTTTGCAGTGCAGCTGAGATGTTTTCTTGCTCCTTAGCTCAGATAAAAATGATCTATTAGTTTGGTTGTTGGTTTCATTCTTCACTCAGTTTTATCTCTAATTTAGCTTTAAGCTCAACTGTTAGCTTAAGTCCTAGCTTGTTAGCGCATATTTCACTTGGGTCTTTAGTTTTGTGCTAGCTCGGCTGCTAACTGGGTTTTAGCTGCATGTTAGCCCAACAATCAGCTGAATTCCCAGTTTGCTGTTATGTAACATGTTAGCTTGCTAGTTAGCTGAGCGTCTGTTTTTGCACACAGACAGTTCTGACTGGATCTGCTAAAATGGAAAAACCTCTTTGTGTCTTCAGTTTTGTCTCCAACAGCTGTGGATGTGTTGCTGAAGCTCATTTTCCAGGATGCTTGTTGATGTCGGCGAGTCGAGGGGAAAAGCTGCAGACATTTTAACTGCAGTGCGTTTACTGTACCGAGCCACAGATTGTGAGGAGTCGGGCTTTCGCTTTCAAAGTTGAACACATCGCTTCTTTGCACTCTTGGATCATTCCTGTCCACAAGGAGTTTCGTTTTTATTTTCCCAAAACATGGAAGAAGAAACAAGTTACAGGTTTTTTCTGAATTAATGAAACGTTTTTAAGTATTTCCTGTGGTGGAGATTTTCACCTTCATTTAACAACAGAAACATTTTTTCATGGTGAACTAAAATCCTAATTCGTTTCTGCTGCTGTTCTCAAGGTCTAACCTTCATGCTTCAGAAAACAATTTAATTATAACATAATTAACAGAAAAAAGGGGAGCAGTTCGATTCTGATGGGAACAAAAATTAAATTTTTGATTTTTTCCTTTTGTACAAAATTAGCATAAAAGCAAATGTTTTGTTTTTAGCTTTATCTTTATTATCTATAATAGTCTTTTTGAAGAAAGTAAATGCTTCATTTGAGTTTCACTCTTGATCAACCAACCATTTATTTAGAGACCTAACAATAAGAAATGTTCTTTAAGAAACCCGACTAATTTTCCATTTTCTTCTCCAGCGGACTGCAGCGAAGAGGCTTATCGGACCTTTTCTCTGCAGAACCGGCGGTTCTATTAACACCGGATGTGAACCGTGACGCCTTTCAGACTCACCCACAGATCCTTTTGCAGCAATGGCCACCGTCTCCAGCAGAACCTGGACGATGCCGGCTCTGACCCGCGGAGTGCTCCTGTGTTCCGTCCAGGTGGGTCAGAACCTGCTGGATCACGTGGTGCGAGTGCTGAGCCTGGATCGGTCGAGAAAAACACAAAAATATCAAATGAATGAAGAACTGAAATAGAGAGAACAGTTTCTGCAGCGTTAGTGGAGGAAACTTTCACGGTGCTGCAGTTTCTACTCTTCAGTAAAATTTCTGGATTTTCTACTGACTGAATGAAAACCAGACACATACCTGCAGTTTCTATTAAGGATTTTATTGAAACAGACTGATTTCTAATGTTTTCCTTTTGCCTGATTTTGTTTTTTGTTATGTGAATTATTTCATTTTGATCTTTAAAATATAAAATCTTTCACTCAAATTGATATTTTTGGCATTATGTAAATTTTAAATATTAAATGATTGATTGAGTTTCTCTTGCTGCGTCCTGTAAACGCAGAAAGCGGAGATCTGATAGCTGAGTTTCATCTCTGAAGTCCAATAAGCGAGAAACATGAAGGTGGCGACGGTCAGGAGACAGATTTTATTTCCAAACAACAGATTCCTCCTCAGAGTCTGAACAGCTACAAAATAAAATCAAAGCTCCACGACTGCTCAGCAGCTCCCCTGTGTGTCAGGCAGACCAACTTCAACCTGACGTGAACCGGCCGGCGCGGCGGCAACGACGCGCTCACACAGCAGGACTGAAAACTTCGTTTGTTTCTGCATGAAAGATTTTCAAAAAATATCATAAAAAGAAAAAAGTCTTTCTGGATCCTGCATCAATAATGAAAGGTTAAATATTGAAGTAAATGTTACCTGGATGGAGAACATGATGATCCTGAAGCAGGACACGGCGAACTCATTCGGGTCCCACAGGTGATGATTGTCCAGGTGACTGAGAACCAAAAGCAGAAACAAACCGATTTGAATCAAATTTCCTGCACAAAAATGAAACAATAAAAGAAAATCATATGGAGGTTCTTCATATTTAGTCAATTATTCACGTCCTTAATGGTTAAAATCAAAAGTGCAGAAGAAGAATGTTACCTTTTTTGGTAACATTTCATTTATTTTTTGTCAATTTAACAAGATGCTGTATGATGAAGACGCCACTGCTGTGAAGCATGGTGATGGCAGCATTATGCTGTGGGGGTCAAAGGTGAAATGAATGTAAAACAACCCAACGAATCCACAGAAATGGACTGAAGACAAGGTGAGGCCTAGTCAAAGTCAATCCCACAGAGAATAGACACAACAAGAAGTTAGCAGCAGGAATTTAAATATTTTTAATTATTTATCGTCAGTTTTCACCCTAGAGGTTTTTTGTGGGAAAAAAAGCTAAACTATGTCAGTAACGACTGATTTACAAAAACAAAAAGTGAAACAATCTTTCAAACTTTGGGAATTAAGGAGTCAAAACAAAATCTGACGTCTTTTTGAAAAGCTTTTGTCTCATTTCAAACATTTTCAGATTTTTTTCACTAGCAATTAGACCAACGTGTTCAGAGGTTTGAGGGTCGGCTCTGCTGGTGGCTGATCCACTGCAGGTTCATGGTCTCTAACCGGATCAGAACCAGAACCAGATTCCTTATTAACAATAGGAAGATATGAAGAAAACCAGGCTGCGTTGCTTTTTGAGAAAAATAAAATCACTGAATCAGTTTGAACCCAAAAACGATAAAAATGCTACAAACAGGGAGAGAAGGAATCAGGTGTTGGAGTGAAAAAGAAGAGGAAGAAGAAGAAAAGAAGGGATAAAGAAAGAGAGAAAAGACGAAGCACCAAGAAGAGAAAAGGCAACAAAAGATGGAGGAGAGGAAGCAGCTTGGAGGAGAACAGTTCATGACGTCAATCCAAACCCCGAACCCCTCCTCCCCGTTAACCCCAATCCTGCTATTTATAGTCTGAAGATGCTCGCCCCTCCCCCCCCTGTTGCTGCCTGCAGAGTTCTGCAGGAGGACAAACGGGTCTGAGACACGGAGGCGCCTTAATACACGAGTACGCTCACAACGCTCAGGCGTTTAATATTCACGCAGCGTCTCCGCCGCAGCAACACGTCAACGTTTAATCTGAGGGGGGAGAGAGAGAGAAACGGAGCGAGAGAGAGAAACGGAGAGAAAGAGAGCAAGAGAGAGAGTGACGGTGGGTGGGAGAGAGAGAGAGTCTGTACCAGCAGCTCCTTCCCCTACAGGCTCCCGTAGCTCCCAAAACTGCACCGCGCTTTAAAAAAAAAATCAGAGTTTTTGTCTGAGATCAGATTCATCCTCAGCCTGCACTACACTAACAGGTTGCAACGCTCCGGCCCGCCTGCAGGGGCGCAGCGCACCAACCTGACCTGGAGCCAGATGTGAAACTGAACCTCTGGCCTGGACTCAGAAACACTTACAGTAATAAAGTGTCAGTGTGAGAAAGACACACTGCTGCTCTCTGTCACTGTGTGTGTGTGTCTGCGTGTGTGCATGTTCCTGTGTGTGTGTGCATGCTCCTGTGTGTGTGTGCCTGTGTGTGTGTGTTCCTGTGTGTGTGTGCCTGTGTGTGTGTGTGTGTGCAGACCTCCTGCATCAAGTGTCACACCTCAGATGAAAAGTGACTGAGTGTCAACAGAATGGATGGAAACGTCAGGAGGTGAAACAAAGGCCTGCAGGAACCGAATTAATGACCAATTTGTAGCTTCATCCGCTGGATTATCTGACAGATTATGAACTAAAGACCCCGACACACACACACGCACGCGCACGCACAAATTTACTTTATTTACAATTTATGGTGTAGCTGATCTTTCTTTTCCCATTTAAAGCCATAAAGGTTCATTTTTAGCTTGTAGTTTTCTTTAAATCTTCAAATGTTTTGTGATTCAGAGAAAATGGTTAAAAACATCGTTTCTGTTCCAAACCTGCTCATCTTAACAGAAAATCGTTTAATTTTTCTTTGCTTGAACTGAGAAAAAACTTGAATATCAAAACAAGAGAAGGATAAATAAAAATTGCTCTAATTAGGAGGCAGAAGGGAAAGAAAGTATTTAGGATGGATGACTAAACTTTTTGTTCCTCCACTGTTTTTGCTACATCCTTTAAATGATGAACTTCAGTGAATATTTCATTCTTTCCACTCAAACTGAAGATAAATATGAGTGGATGGAAAAGGATAGAGTTTGTATCGACAGGTAAGAGGAGTTCCTCAGGGCTGTGTGTCCGGTCCGCTGTTGTTCAACCTCCTGACCCAATAATCTACAGAACCATGAAGAAGACATCCTGACGTTTAAGCTGTTCCTCTGTTTCCTTGCCTGTCTTTAAGAAATGTAGATCTTTTACCAGTGATAAATAAACGATAAGCCTCCCAGGTCAGAAAAGCAGACAGGAAGAAGAAAAGCTTTTAAACTTTAAACTGACGCCGGTGTTTCTGAGGCGTCAGAGTCTTATAAAACTGTAATAGCAGCAGTAAAAGGTTCTTGAATTAATTTGCAAGCATGAGTTACATATTTAGGGAAAACGTGTCACTCCAGGCTGCATGAGCATGGAAATATTCAATAAAGCCACTAAGGAGCAACATGGAGCCTTTTTTGCAAAAGATTTGGGTTTTTCCAGTTTTTTGTGGAAGCAGCAGCCGGTCAGATCCACTTAATAACTGATCACCTTCAGTCTGACACTTGATGCTCAGCAGTATAACGGCAGGTTCACACGATGCGGATCTGGTTCTGATGTTCTCCAGGGAGGAAGGAGACATTTACTGGAGCAGGAGAGAAGATCTCTGACCGCACAGCGCTCCACAAGAATACAACATGGTGGTCATTTCACAGCTGACAGTCCAGTAAACTCCGATCAATAAGGAACCAGAACTCCATCATCTGCTCCACCTCCAGCTGCTGTGGCTCTGAGTCAAACCAACCTGTTCCCCTCCTGGCCTTAGGGGGCGCTGCACCAGAAACCACTGAAGGAAACGACACACAAACCTCTAAAGACGCTGAGCGCAGCTTCCTTCATGGTGTAGAAACAAAAATGGAGGCGTCAGATTTTAGCGATTGGAGGAAAAACACTTCAGTGTTTTTCATTTCTCCTGCTAGCGCTAGGCTAGCATGTTTGTTTTGGTAGCATTTACCCAGAATGCCCTGCGCTGTAAACCTTCCTGCTTTTGGAGCGGTCTGCAGTCGATTGCAGTTCAGAAATGGAAAATAATCTTAATAATTCAGGAATAAAGACATAATGCGAGAATAAACTTGTAATATCACCAGAATAAAGTCATAACATGAATATAGTTATATTTAAAAATTAAGTCAAAAATAAAAAAAAAAGCCGTAATAACAGCTGTAAATTACATGTTATTACAAATAATAACATGAGGATAAATTCACACCTGTAATTTTTTATTCTCATCACATTAAGACTCACTCCCTGCAGTGACGGCTTTTTAGCCTCCAATATTTTGTAAATCTACCAGCCATGCTAATCTACAACAGAACGGCTCAATACGAAAAGAATCGAGTGGCCTAGTCAAAGTTCGGAGCTCAGCCTCATTGAAATGCTGCTTTAAGAAGGAAAGATCTACAGGTTGTACTCACACCAACACGGGCCGGACGGCGTTCTTCATGTTTCCGTACGCGGCTCGGCCCAGCAGCTCCCTGAAGCAGTTCTCGGCCAGAACCGCCGGGTTCTCCTCGCCCTCCTGACCCGACACGGACGGCGTGCTGGGATGCCCCGACCTGCGGAGGGAAGCAGAGCAGACGAACGTGGGAAACGGAAAGGCCTCGCCAGGAGCAACAGGAGCTGTCGGCTCAGCAGAGCAGCTGGAAAAACAGGCAACACGTCTGGAAACGGCAACATCACGTAGAAACAAGCCGCGCCGCGCAACGAGCCGCGCCGCGCAACAATCAATATTTCATAACAACACAGAGGCTGAGAAGACAAACTTCCAGGAAGTAAGAAGAGGAGGATGGAAAGAGAGAAGCTGAGATTAAATAAAAGTTTCATCAGAAGGAAACAACCGGGATGAATAATAGAGAAGCTGACGACCAACAGCCAATCAGGAGCCAGCACCGTCAAGGTCACAGTTCACATCGCCGTAATGGCACCGAGAAGTCTGACGGGAAGGTCAAAGGTCAGTTCACTGCAAGGTGACATTCAGAGCTGAAGTGTGAAATCTGAGCTGTCGGAGTTCACACAGGCCCTTCATCATCAGAGACGTCAAACTGAGGATGATGATGCTGCACACATTAGCTTCTGCTAAATACTGTGTTGACTTTAGCATTAGCTTCTGCTAAATACTGTGGTCACTTTAGCATTAGCTTCTGCTAAATACTGTGTTGACTTTAGCATTAGCTTCTGCTAAATACTGTGTTGACTTTAGCATTAGCTTCTGCTAAATACTGTGGTCACTTTAGCATTAGCTTCTGCTAAATACTGTGGTCACTTTAGCAATAGCTTCTGCTAAATACTGTGTGGACTTTAGCATTAGCTTCTGCTAAATACTGTGTTGACTTTAGCATTACCTTCTGCTAAATACTGTGGTTACTTTAGCATTACCTTCTGCTAAATACTGTGTTGACTTTAGCATTAGTTTTCTGCAAAATACTGTGGTCACTTTAGCATTAGTTTCTGCAAAATACTGTGTTGACTTTAGCATTAGCTTCTGCGAAATACTGTGTTGACTTTAGCATTAGCTTCTGCAAAATACTGTGTTGACTTTAGCATTAGCTTCTGCTAAATACTGTGTTGACTTTAGCATTAGCTTCTGCTAAATACTGTGTTGACTTTAGCATTAGCTTCTGCTAAATACTGTGTTGACTTTAGCATTAGCTTCTGCTAAATACTGTGTTGACTTTAGCATTAGGTTCTGCTAAATACTGTGTTGACTTTAGCATTAGCTTCTGCTAAATACTGTGGTCACTTTAGCATTAGCTTCTGCTAAATACTGTTGACTTTAGCATTAGCTTCTGCTAAATACTGTGTTGACTTTAGCATTAGCTTCTGCTAAATACTGTGTTGACTTTAGCATTAGCTTCTGCTAAATACTGTGTTGACTTTAGCATTAGTTTCTGCTAAATACTGTGTTGACTTTAGCATTAGCTTCTGCTAAATACTGTGTTGACTTTAGCATTAGCTTCTGCTAAATACTGTGTTGACTTTAGCATTAGGTTCTGCTAAATACTGTGTTGACTTTAGCATTACCTTCTGCTAAATACTGTGGTCACTTTAGCATTAGCTTCTGCTAAATACTGTGTTGACTTTAGCATTAGCTTCTGCTAAATACTGTGTTGACTTTAGCATTAGCTTCTGCTAAATACTGTGTTGACTTTAGCATTAGCTTCTGCTAAATACTGTGTTGACTTTAGCATTAGTTTCTGCAAAATACTGTGTTGACTTTAGCATTAGTTTCTGCGAAATACTGTGTTGACTTTAGCATTAGCTTCTGCGAAATACTGTGTTGACTTTAGCATTAGCTTCTGCAAAATACTGTGTTGACTTTAGCATTAGCTTCTGCTAAATACTGTGTTGACTTTAGCATTAGGTTCTGCTAAATACTGTGTTGACTTTAGCATTAGCTTCTGCTAAATACTGTGTTGACTTTAGCATTAGCTTCTGCTAAATACTGTGTTGACTTTAGCATTAGCTTCTGCTAAATACTGTGTTGACTTTAGCATTAGCTTCTGCTAAATACTGTGTTGACTTTAGCATTAGCTTCTGCTAAATACTGTGTTGACTTTAGCATTAGCTTCTGCTAAATACTGTGTTGACTTTAGCATTAGCTTCTGCTAAATACTGTGGTCACTTTAGCATTAGCTTCTGCTAAATACTGTGGTCACTTTAGCATTAGCTTTCTGCTAAATACTGTGGTCACTTTAGCATTAGCTTCTGCTAAATACTGTGGTCACTTTAGCATTAGCTTCTGCTAAATACTGTGGTCACTTTAGCATTAGCTTCTGCTAAATACTGTGGTCACTTTAGCAATAGCTTCTGCTAAATACTGTGTGGACTTTAGCATTAGCTTCTGCTAAATACTGTGTTGACTTTAGCATTAGGTTCTGCTAAATACTGTGTTGACTTTAGCATTAGCTTCTGCTAAATACTGTGGTCACTTTAGCATTAGCTTCTGCTAAATACTGTGTTGACTTTAGCATTAGTTTCTGCAAATACTGTGGTCACTTTAGCATTAGTTTCTGCAAAATACTGTGTTGACTTTAGCATTAGCTTCTGCTAAATACTGTGTTGACTTTAGCATTAGCTTCTGCTAAATACTGTTGACTTTATTAGCATTAGCTTTGTAATACTGTGTTTTTAGCATTAGCTTCTGCTAAATACTGTGTTGACTTTAGCATTAGGTTCTGCTAAATACTGTGTTGACTTTAGCATTTAGGTTCTGCTAAATACTGTGTTGACTTTAGCATTAGGTTCTGCTAAAATACTGTGTTGACTTTAGCATTAGCTTCTGCTAAATACTGTGTTGACTTTAGCATTAGCTTCTGCTAAATACTGTGTTGACTTTAGCATTAGCTTCTGCTAAATACTGTGTTGACTTTAGCATTAGCTTCTGCTAAATACTGTGTTGACTTTAGCATTAGTTTCTGCAAAATACAGTGTTGACTTTAGCATTAGCTTCTGCGAAATACTGTGTTGACTTTAGCATTAGCTTCTGCGAAATACTGTGTTGACTTTAGCTTTAGGTACTGCTAAATACTGTGTTGACTTTAGCATTAGCTTCTGCTAAATACTGTGTTGACTTTAGCATTAGCTTCTGCTAAATACTGTGTTGACTTTAGCATTAGGTTCTGCTAAATACTGTGTTGACTTTAGCATTAGGTTCTGCTAAATACTGTGTTGACTTTAGCATTACCTTCTGCTAAATACTGTGTTGACTTTAGCATTAGCTTCTGCTAAATACTGTGTTGACTTTAGCATTAGCTTCTGCTAAATACTGTGTTGACTTTAGCATTAGCTTCTGCTAAATACTGTGTTGACTTTAGCATTAGCTTCTGCAAAATACTGTTTGACTTTAGCATTAGCTTCTGCAAAATACTGTGTTGACTTTAGCATTAGCTTCTGCGAAATACTGTGTTGACTTTAGCATTAGCTTCTGCTAAATACTGTGTTGACTTTAGCATTAGCTTCTGCTAAATACTATGTTGACTTTAGCATTAGCTTCTGCTAAATACTGTGTTGACTTTAGCATTAGGTTCTGCTAAATACTGTGTTGACTTTAGCATTAGCTTCTGCTAAATACTGTGTTGACTTTAGCATTAGCTTCTGCTAAATACTGTGTTGACTTTAGCATTAGCTTCTGCAAAATACTGTGTTGACTTTAGCATTAGCTTCTGCAAAATACTGTGTTGACTTTAGCATTAGCTTCTGCGAAATACTGTGTTGACTTTAGCATTAGCTTCTGCTAAATACTGTGTTGACTTTAGCATTAGCTTCTGCTAAATACTGTGTTGACTTTAGCATTAGCTTCTGCTAAATACTGTGTTGACTTTAGCATTAGGTTCTGCTAAATACTGTGTTGACTTTAGCATTAGGTTCTGCTAAATACTGTGTTGACTTTAGCATTAGGTTCTGCTAAATACTGTGTTGACTTTAGCATTACCTCCTGCTAAATACTGTGTTGACTTTAGCATTAGCTTCTGCTAAATACTGTGTTGACTTTAGCATTAGCTTCTGCTAAATACTGTGTTGACTTTAGCATTAGCTTCTGCTAAATACTGTGTTGACTTTAGCATTAGCTTCTGCAAAATACTGTGTTGACTTTAGCATTAGTTTCTGCAAAATACTGTGTTGACTTTAGCATTAGCTTCTGCTAAATACTGTGTTGACTTTAGCATTGGCTTCTGCTAAATACTGTATTAGTAAAGTACTTAAGAGTTAGTTTATGCTAACTATAATGTTAGCATAGCAACATAACATCAGCTGAACTGTGTGGTTAATGCTCTGGGTTAGCGCAGCTAGCTTTTTAGCTTCACTCTCTGTGCCAGTGAAGGAAACCAATTTCTGCTGCTTGCATCCTGGATCTCGGTTTTTCTCTCGATATTCTCGCCTCCGCTCCATAACTGAGGCATCAAACTTCGATTTTCATGTCATTATTTCAGCTGAAATCCTGATTCGTGTGTAAATCTCTCCTTTCCGTCCAACCATTGCTCTGTTGGGAGCGAAACCCTCAGAGTTCTTCCATTTCCTCAGAACAGAAATCCTGCGCCTTGAAGCAGCCGCAGCCACTTGTTGAGGGATAAATCGTAAATCACGTCGCCGGGAGCGAGGTGGACTCCAGGCGGCCGCGTCTCCGGAGGGAAACGATGCAATTACTGTCAGCACACGGCAGCAGTTCAGGGGAAATTAAATGCTTATTGCTTGTTAGAAGTGGGGAAATGATAGACAAAAATGAAACCTCCTGCTGTAATTGGAGGTGGATTGTTGTGGTTTAATAAAGTGGCAGAACAGACGGAATAAAATGAGGTTTTCTGTTGCCGGATTAAAAAAAAAAAAAAGACTTTGTAGTCAGAATTTGTGTCCAAATTAAAAAAATATGGTTCATATTGAGGAAAAAGAGCAGAACCAATCAGAACCGATGAGAACCAATCAGAACCAAGAGCAGAACTAATCAGAACCGATCAGAACTAATCAGAACCGATCAGAACCAATCAGAACCGATCAGAACCAAGAGCAGAACCAAGAGCAGAACCGATCAGAACCGATCAGAACCAAGAGCAGAACCAATCAGAACCGATCAGAACCGATCAGAACCAATCAGAACCAAGAGCAGAACCAATCAGAACCGATCAGAACCAATCAGAACCGATGAGAACCAAGAGCAGAACCGATCAGAACCAAGAGCAGAACCAAGAGCAGAACCAATCAGAACCGATCAGAACTAATCAGAACCGATCAGAACCAAGAGCAGAACCGATCAGAACCAAGAGCAGAACCAATCAGAACCGAGCTGCTCCAACATGTCACAGCAAATAAAGTTATTTTTCATGTCCAGTCATCTCTGAAAGACGGCGGCTCTAAATGACTCCATGACCCTCCTGACTCCTTTTGTCCGGTTTGTATTCAGCGGCTGTTTGGGTTTCATCAGATATGAACCGTCTGAGCAGCTGGAGGTCGGAGGCATTTTATCGCCTCCATTTCTGCTCTGAATGGACGAACGCCGTCAGGGTGGAACCGTGAACACCGGCGGAGCCTCGGCCTCCCTCCCTCTGCAGGCCGGACACGTCCGCCTCACCGAGAGGCAATTAAGAGAAACACAGCGGCCTTGAGCGGCGCCGTCCATCAGAGACTCGCCGCCGGTCCAGAGGGGAAACCAACAGAAACCAGGAAGTCGTTTGTTCAAGGAGGAAAAAGTACAGAACGGCTTCAGCATCATTTCTGCAGCAGCAAAATGAACCAGAGAGGAAAAAACTGCAGCAAGACTCAAATTAAATTAAAAGATTCAGATTATTAAACTTGGAAACACTGTTCAGGTCAAAGGTCAAGTCATTCACACCCAAAATACATATTCATGTTTGAATGGACGGATTTAGAGTCCAGAGTTTCTGCAGGAAAACGGTTAGAAACACGGACAGGACAGACGGAGCTGAACAGAACCAGAACAGAACCAGTGACTGCCTCCTGCAGCAGCGCACACACACACACACACACACACACACACACACACACACCACCACACACACACACACACACACACACACACACACACACACACACACACACACACACACACACACACACACACACAGACACACACACACGCACACACACACGCACACACAGACACACACACACACACACAGACACACACACACACACACACACCACAGACACGCACACACACACACACACACACACACACACACACTGAGGGTTCCTCTAACCATGAGCTGATCTAAACGTTTATGGTCGTTTTCTTCAGCGGGTGAAGATACTGACGACACGCGAAGGCTCGGTATTCTCCACCTGCAGAGCAGAACCCTAGTGCCGAGCCGCTCCAGTCGGGGCGCCGGCGCCACAGCTGAGCCTCTTCAGAAAGGAAAGTCAGCAGAAGAAAGAAAACGGCAGCAGGAGTGGATCCAAAAATAGCTTTTTGTTCACATGGAAACCGTACGGATGAAACGACAGCGAGAAGACGGGAAGGTGAGGCGACGAGATCCAGGAGGAGAAAAGAACCTAAACAGACGGCGCCGATCTGCAAATTTACTGAATCTGCCTTTATTATCTCAGAATCCACAGAAACAAGGAATAAAGTGGTTATTATTTAACGATTCTCATTATTTCTAAAGACAAACAGAAACTGTTTAATCTGAATTCTGTCTGAGACAAAAGCCTGAAACATTCTGGGAATTTCTCCACCTTGGAAACTTTCCATGAAAGAAATGGAATAAAAATACATTTTCTGTGTAACTGCAGAAAAATATCAACAATATGGACAGAAATCAGAAGGATTTGATGTTTGAGTTAAAAGGTTTTGCTGTTATTTTAGAGAAGTTGTAACTTTTTAAAGTAAAATGTAAAAGTAAACAGTTAAATGGATCCAAATCCCCAAACTGAAAGTCCTGAGTTTTTCTCTCCAATTAAAAACACAAATATAAAATTATTCCTGCACAATAAATTAAACTTGTAATATAAAATTTTCATCAATAATTACAATCATTTCACTTCTGTGGCCGATTAGTTTCTGTTATGTTGGTCTATAATGCACTGATGTGCTGCAGCACATTAGTGCTGCAGCACATCAGTGCAGCCTGGCGGCAGCCTGGCGCTGGCTGCTGCGGCGCGGCGTACCTGTCCAGGTCCTCGGCGTCCTGCATGTTGAACAGCATGGAGGGAATCAGTTTGTCCATGTGCTGAGGCTCCCAGATGATGGCCTGCAGCTCGTCGTTCACAGTTTTCCGCACGACTCCCTGAAGTCCTCTGATCCCAGCGACTCGGATCCTGAAACACACGCAGAAGCCGCTCACATCGGATAAACGCCACTAAACTGACACCACATTTATTTTCACTAAAATATGATTTCAAACACATTCAGTTTGACTGAGAATGAACATTTTCCATTTAACTGGAATTTACTGGAAATATTGAGAGGAATCTAAATAAACTGGAAGTTAAATTTGAACTGAATTAAAGTGGAATTTAAAGAAGCTCTAAGTTTAGCAGTTAGCAGAAGAGCTGATAGATCAGCAGGAAGGTTCCCACTAATGACACTGAACATTTTAAACAGCTTCACATTTTTCATTTTATTGTGTTTTGATCTGCAGTTTCTTTGTTTTATCAAGTCAAGATGCTCTGATATTTATTTAAACTTCCACTTCAGGATAAATGAGGTTTTTCTTAACCTGCTGTGCATTAATGCAAGCTTTCCTTTAACTTGGTTTCAGTTGATATTTGTTCCCTGAATCGTTTTTATTGAATTGCCTCTGAACTTGATTTAAACTGGAATATGCAGGAAAGTGGCTCCAGATAACCTTTGATATAAATACTTATGAGTTTAAAAACTTCTAAAATGATTTGCTGCATCAAATTGGCTCCAACACAAAGTGAGACTCTTTCCCACGTTTCTCAGAAGTCTGGCCTAGTCAAAACCCCATGAAACCAGGTTAGCTTTCAGCTCTGGACACAAAACTCTCAGAGCAATTAAACCGAAGACGAGGTCGGCAGCAGGAGGACAAAACCTGCTGCTCATGGAGTCAAACCCAAGCAGCAGCCGCCTCCTCATCCAGACACATGGAAACAAAAGTCCATTTTTACGCCCGAGCGTTTCCTCCACTCTGGGTCCCAGCTGGCGCGAATAAAGCGAGCAGCTCTGAAGGCGGCAGGCTTCTCGCTCAGTAAATGAGACAGAAGAGGCTTCAGGTATTGTTTTCAACCACTGCTCATCTTTATTAGCGCCAGACGGCGTCTCTCTGCGGAGGCCAGCAGCCGCCATTTTAGCTCCCTGTGATCAGGAGCAACAAAACCTCCATTTGATTTAATTCAGTCACACTGAAGAAAGCAGGTTCATGGTGTCACTTTAGGTTGATATAAACACATGATGATAAAATAATATTTAGTCTGGAAGCCCAACACTTCCCTGAAACGTTTCTGTTTCCTGTTCTTTGCTCAATGAGGGAAACAGAGAGAAGCTGCAGGAATATTTACCCAAAACAGGAAACAGGAAGGTGAAGGTTTGAACTGGTGCTTCAACCTTCTGCAGTTACAATTCACTAGTGAACAAGTTCAGTTTTCTTCTAATCTCTCTGTAAAGGTGATACTGATATAAATGATCAATATAGACATAAAGTTCTTTATTGTTCAAGACTAAAACTAACCGTTTGAGCTCACATCTCACAGGCTGTTAATATTCTCCTGATGCCAAAAACACTTACATTAAATAAGAAATGCAATTAAAAGTTTTTTCACTCTGACTCATTAAACATCATGTCTTGCATGATGCTGCCACTTCCTGTCGTCTTCTTCACGGTTTCTGCCTGCAGTAACATCCGGTTGCTGTTCGTGTGACTCGTGTGACGATCAAACTGTTTCCTTAGCAGTTTTATGATTATTAGTCGTATTAATCAGTTGATTAGTCGATTCTCTGACTGTCTGGACTCGTCCGGATCAGAACCAGTAAACGAATGTTACTCAAAGAATCTTCAACTTGATTTCAATTCGTCTTTTCTGAGATGAAAGGTTTTTGCCCAGTTTTTGTTTCTGTTCAGCAGCGATAAGAATCCCGTGTTCAGTTTCCCTGGGGAACCAAACCGTCCAAATGTCCAAATGTTGGGTCTGCATGCAGACTCTGCCTCGCTCTTTTATTTGAGGATTAACGTTTCTCTAAAAGGCATGTTTGGTTTCTTTGAATGTTTTTCCTCGGGTTTTAATCCTCACTTCTCTAATAACCTTCCCTCGCCTCTGAAGATGACTAATTATTCTCCCGTGCTGGATTCAGATTAGCGGCAGCGCGACCCGTTTCCTCCGTCAGGAATCCAGTTTCAACACGTCTGGATGTTCAGCTCAGCCTTGCAGCCGAGAATCAGCTGATTACCGACGGAGAGAACGAAGCTCAAAACAGAAGAAGAGACAATTTGTGTCTTATTTATGCTTAAACACTGAGATCACAGTGAATTTATTTCTTTATGGCAGTTTTCAGAGGATGTGACGCCATGTGACTTTAGCTCTTGTCTGGTCTGATTCTCATTATAACGCTGTTTACACAGCGGCAGGTGAAATACGGATCACAAGTTTTTAATCTGTCGCTCCTTCATCCCTGAACATGAAGCTTCGACTCAAACTGAACCCTGACTGACTCAGAAACATGAACCCAACCCAGCGGGGGGTCCAGCGTCCACCAGTCTGACAAACTCACATTATACTGTTAGTAAATAACTGAATTATTGAATAATAAACATCAGAAGGCCTAATAATCAACCATGTGGAACAACACAAGTTATTTTGTTAGGCTTTAATTTTTACACAGTAAGAAAAAATAAAAACAAGGTGAATCCCTCTGAAGTCAAGTCAGTTGGAGCCAAAGTTCAGCTCACCTGGTTCTGGTCTGGTTCTGGACTCACCTGGTTCTGGACTCACCTGGTTCTGGACTCACCTGGTTCTGGGCTCACATGGTTCTGGTCTGGTTCTGGACTCACCTGGTTCTGGTCTGGTTCTGGACTCACCTGGTTCTGGTCTCCGGGTCTTCGTGAGTCGAGTGGCACATGGCGCTGAACTGGGAGACGAAGAAGTCGTAGCGGCGATGGTAGGAAGGCGTGTCCTCCTCGATGTTGGCAAACTTCACAAACTGCAACAGCCAAACAGCAGGGAAAGAGAATCAGAACCAGGTCCGACCGCAGCAGAACCAGGTCCATTCATTGTAAAAATACTGAGACCGCAACCTGCTCATGGTTTCGTTTTCAGACCCGTTTTGTGGCGCTACGACCCGGCAGCAGCTCCAGCTCCTCGAACCATAACGGCTGGTGGAAGCAGCGACTCGCTGACGCTCCACCAGCAGTGAAAACGTTACAGTCAGAGCAAAAGGCGTCCTCTCGCTAATGATTCTTCTGCTAAGGTGATTGTGGCTGAACAGCAGCAGTGAGGATAATTCAGGCTGCTGGATGGCAGAGCAGTTTAACCTCTGATTCTGTTTCCTCCGGCTGAAATGAGAAGGCATTAAGGCCGTCGAGTGAAATGGGCTGGTTTTAACTTTATTATGCAAGTTAATTGGTATAATGAAGCAGCATCCATTTTAGCCATGACAGAGAAACCGACCATTATCAGCCTGCGATGTTCCCATCAGCTGGTCTGACAGTCGACTTGCAGGCAGGAGACATAAATAAAGACATCTGAATTTTTTTACTCCTAAAATTGCTTCAAAAAACCTGAAAATGAAAGAAATGATGAAAAGATGAAACAGGAACTAATTATGTGAGGCTTTTTATGTCCTACAGGGGGAGTTTGTCCTCTTCATCTCAGACATTAATATGGATTTTAGTTGTGAAAAACATAAAAAATATTTGAGAAAAAGATTAGTTGCCAATTATAGAGGATTTTAAAACGAGTCTCTTGACATTTTCACTCAAACTCAGAATTATCTCCGCAGGAAATCAGCTTTCCTCGATCCGCGGCGCCGTCTATCAGCAACAGGGATGCTTTAATCTGGTCGTGTTCTCAGGCAGAGAAAATCGAGCTTTCAAACAAGCAAACGATAAAAGTTTACCCATTTTCATCACATCAGGACCTGAAACAACCCCTCCTCCATCTATGTGGCACGTGGACCTGCAAGTTCTGATGCAAGACGCCTGAGCATTTCAGGGGAGGAGCCCGACCGCTTTGGGGGAGGAGCCCGACCGTTTTGGGGGAGGAGCCCGACCGTTTTGGGGGAGGAGCCCGACCGTTTTGGGGGAGGAGCCTGACTGTCTTGGGGGGAGGAGCTCCTGTATAATTACCCACCCGGTTCAGGTAATATTCCAGTAAAAATGCTGCAAGTTGCAGTAACGTTCAGGCATTTCGACACTTTCAATCTAATTATTAATTTCTCCATAAGAAGCGATTTTCATATTTTAATGTTCAAGGCGTTACTGTAGAAGTTAATTTTACCAAATAAAGTAAAATTATGTTTTTAACAATGATCCTGATTTATAGTTGTGTTACTGCTTTTATGTATACATTTGTAAATTGCAGTGACGCTAAAGTGATTCTTTACATACTAAAAAATTAGGAATCAATTTTTTCGTACATTAATAACAGTTTAACAGAGTTTAGTTCTGAAACATCAGAAACAAAGTGATTTCTGTGGTTTAATAATAGCTGCGATGATGGAGCCGACACTTTGCTGACCATCTGAGTGGAAACGTGTGAAACCGCAGGAGGACGGAGCCAACAGAAGGAAACAAATGGACTTTAGTCAGGAGTTCATGTTACAGAGTCACTGCGGTGCTTAAAATCTGAATTTCTGTAATTTAGGGATTAATTATGGACAGAAAACCAGAACTCTGATTTTATTGTGGGAATTTTGGAGCAAAATCTTAAAGATCAAATGTTTTATACCTAATTTGTCAACCAACGTTGATAAATTAGGTATGAAACATCACGTCCAGGTTATTAACTCGCTGAACATTGGACTCATTAACAGAGACAGATGACAGAAGATGCAGGAAACGACAAAATGCATGTGAAGCTGGACATAAGAGCCCTGGACATAAGCTGGTAGGAGTACAGCAAAGATAGATGTTTGGGTTTTAATAAGAATCATTGTTCTGCTGCCTGTGGAGTGATTTATCACCTCCTCCCACCACGACTTGTTTTCCCTCTCCTGGGTCACCTTCTCATAGAAAAACTTTAAAAACAACAGATTTGCAGCACAGATTGAAATGTAAGGAGCCTTGTTCGAAACAGTTCAACTGGTCATAAAATGTTTTCTATATAAAGCAGTTAAACAGCAGCAGACGTGCAGAACAGATCCGGATCTTTCTCTCATTTTACCTTTTAAAGAAGCCAAAATGTGTAAAGAGAAAAAGAATAAACAGATGTGATCAAATTGCATCCAAAGAAAAGTTAAACATCATCATCTTGCATGAACGATGCATCACATCATTTACACAAATGGATCTGGCGCCCTTTTTGCACGGCCCCACACGCAGTGGGTGCCGCAACATCGACAGGAACATTTCTGATTTCTGAAGCTTGAAGGTAAACCTGAACCTTCATCCACTTAGCAGCAAACCCAACTGTAGCTGCGTTTCCATTAACTATGGAATTGTGCAAATTGGAGTCAAAATAATAAATTTGCTCAACGGAAACGCAGCATTTTAAAAAAACACGTTTTCTTGATGAAACGCTTTTGGGTTCGCATAAGGACGGTTTTTCAGCTGCATCAAAATTTATTTCACAAAACTGCAATGGAGACACTTTTCGCATCATATGAGTCACATGATCAACAGCCGGATGTTACTACTGCTGGAACATCGAAGACGACGACAGGAAGTGGTCAGAGGACGATGGTTTTGTTTAGTTTTTTTCAGAGCTCTCATGAATCTCAGCTCAGAAAAAGTTCGTTTTATTCCAACATGATGAATCCAAAGCTTTCCTGGAAAATCACCGACCAGATTTTATGTAGCCGCTCAAAGTAGGCGGGGCTTGATGCTCCAACGCCTGACGGTCTTCTATGATTGGCTGATGGATGATGAGTGCTATGGCTGAATCAAGGATGCATCTCATGTAATTGTTTATGTCTGTCATTTTTAATGACTTATTCTCCAAACAAGTTTATTCACAAGAGATAATTTAATTTCTTATTTAATGGAAACATAGCAAATGGGAAATTGGTTTTTTTAATCATCAGCAGAATATTTGTAATGGAAACGCAGCTGATAAGATATTTCTGTTAGGATGGCGTCGTTTCAGTTTTTTCTGTTTCTGTGTTTTTGGTTCTTCTTTGACAAATCTGAGATCGCAGCAACAAAAACAATGTTTAGAAAAACTAAATCAACTAAACTGGTGATGATGGACTGGAAGCAGCGCAGCCTTCCTGATCCACCAGAGCAAAGTGAAGCAGATGTGTTGCGACCACCATGGGAAAATCTAACTGCCGCGGTTCTGCATCGGTTCTCCTCTGTCACAGAATAAATACCACACATAAATAATGCAGGTCCATCTGAACCCGCGGCTCAGATGGAGCGCCAACAATAGCCAGGATGACAGAACCCAGGAAACTACTTCTGTTTCACCTTCAGAGGACTTGGAGGAAACAGATCTGGAAGCAGCGTTAGGACAATTTCCTCTGTGTGTTATTGGGCCACAACGAGAGCAGAATCAGCTCTTAAACCTCCACCAGCGTCTGGGCTGCAGCCCACTGACAGATTCAGCCCATTTCGTAAAAATACGGTAATAAGTTTCAGTTTAATAGCTAACTTTGTGGATTATGAGCTCATATTTTCTGGGATTTATTGCGCAGCACATGGAGGCAAACATTAAAGTGCAATTATAGCAAAAGCAGCCTCGCTTCTCCTGATCCAGGACAAAAAAAAAAACTCAGGAGATTTTAATATCTGCTAACAAACAGTTAGTTAAAAATGAAGCTTCACTTCACAGCCTGTTTGTTTTTTTTACCGCCAGCAGCAGTTCGATTTCTGCAGCATGAAGAGCAGGAACGTCTGTAAGGTCATTCCAGATGCTGCTGCGGCATCGCTGCTGCTGCTGCGGCATCGCTGCTGCTGCTGCGGCATCGCTGCTGCTGCTGCGGCATCGCTGCTGCTGCTGCGGCATCGCTGCCTCTCCTAAAAACCTCCAGATTGATGGATCATCATCAGGTGGTTCTGATCTATAAACCGTCCTCCATGTTTTAGTCTCTGCTGCTCCTGGTCAGGATATGGAGGACTAATCCTGCCAAAACTGGCAAGAGAAATAAATGGCTAATATTTCACCTAAAAAGTAAAAAATCAGATCATTTTCAATAGTATTAATTTAACATTGACTCTATTGGATTTTTCCATTTTTCTTCAAATTTAATTTTCCCTTTTTATTTAATTATTAATGTTTCTCATTCTTATTTCATGCATTTCATAAACAATAGTATTTACTGTCACATTTTATTAGGTTTTCAATATTCTGCATGCCGTATTTTACTGACACTCTTAAATCCTACATTGAATTTTGCCTCTAATATTTCTACTTTTTACTTTGATTTATCCAGTTTTGTCTTATTTATAATTTCTTTTTCTCAATTAATGAAAAAATAAAAGCAATAAATTGAAAACAAAATGGAAAATTAAAACAATAACTTGAAAATTCTTATTTTTTTATTTTTGGATGCAACATTTGGCACATTAATTTTCCATAAAGCCATTTATTGTATTGAAGCTTCACTGGTTTCTACTGGAGATTTAAAGGAGAAAGAAATTGAGTTTCCATCACTCCAGAGCAGTGACAACCTGTGTGTGACCCGATGGTGGCGCTGCTTACCGAGTTTGTTCCCAGAACCTGCAGGTCCGGTTCTCTGGACTCCAGCAGCTTGGCCACCATGTGCAGAAAACTCTCCACGAAGGGCTTGATGCTCTGGGAGTGGCACGCCATCAGCAGCTGGTCCAGCGCCTCCATGGCGATCACCACGTACCTGCAACCCGCAACAGGCAAGATGGCTGCCATCAGACCCAGACCGCAGGTTCTGGCCTGGCTCGTTTGGACCGACTCCTCACCCGTAGCGATGCCGCACCACGTCTCTGCTCAGCCGGTCGGCGAGGTACGCCCCGATCCGGTCCAGCTTCTCCGGCGCCGACACGGCGTAGAACGTCAGCTTCTCCATGTCCGACTTACTGAGGCCATCCTGGCAGGAAGCAGAGTGGAGAAAACGGGTCGGTCCAGACGGCAAAACATTCCTCCCAGAGCCTCAGAGTTTAACTTCCTGCTCATTTATACGCCGACGACGCTCAGATCTACCGCTTGATATTTTATTAGCTTTTAAATGTGATAATTAAACCTAAACTTTACCTGCAATTCAGAATAAAACAGATTAAAACCTTAAAGCTGCAGTACCTGACTTATAAAACCACATGTTCTTTACATATTTGTTAAATCTGTGGCCATGTGCAGACAGTATGAGGATAATCTGTGAAAACATCGACCTCCTGCTTCCCATCTGCACCAGAAACAACCAATCAGAGCCAGGGGGAGGGGCTGAGCGCTGTCAATCAACACCCTGCTAAACGCGCTAGTGGAGCAGAAACAACAATTCAGGAAAGTTGTTCATCAAATGTCATCGGTGGCTATGCTAACTAGCCTTAGCATTAATGACAGACTGCTAGCTTGGGGAATGATTGACAGCACTAAGAACCGCCTCCTGGCTCTGATTGGTTCTCTCTAATTGGCATAGGCAGAGAAGCTCGATCTTTTCTCAGATTATCAGTCTCTTAACATGACGACAGTTTCAACAAAAAAATTTAAAAAATATGTTTGATAAAAGTTACACTGCAGCTTCAAAACAGAAATATTCAAACTTTTTGCCCTGATGGACAAAAGCTGAAAAATAAAACTACTGACAAAATTCATTACAAAGCAAACATTTGTTAATTGTGATTTTTTTTTCTTTTTTAGCTGCAAATTTTTATAAAATCTGCAAATTATTAAAAATCCAACGGTTTTCCATTTTGTTGGCCAAACATTTTCACCAGATTTAACTTGTGGTCGGGGCCCTAACAGAATCACTTTAAGGGCCTCAGCCGGCCCGCGGGCCTCAGTTTGGACACCCAGTGCAGAACCTTGTTGGACTCACTTTGGGATCCTCTGGGAAGATGTTGTCCACCAGACGCTTGTAGCGGGGCCTCAGGGGCCCGCAGCAGCCACACACTCCTGGAAACGAGACAAACAGACATGCTGGATCAGAACCAACAGAACCTGCTGCAGTTTAAAAACCTGCAGAACCAAAACCGGTTCTGGATCCGCCAGCCCATCATGACTCATCCACACATCAGCCCGACTTCGTCTGCAGCGGCCGCCACCCGACTCCCAACACGAACGAGTTTCAGTGAGTCAAAAAGCAGCGATGAGTCAGAGTCACGGCGAGGAGGATCGGGTCGACGGCGGGTCGACCGGAGGCCGAGGCAGAACCCACAGACGTTCTGCCATAATATAGCTTATTATGATCCATCTGCAGATCAGATGGATCATAATTACCACAAGGTTACTAATTAAATTCAGTAAATCAATAAATCAATCAATAAGGAAACACATTTTGCAATTGTAAAATAAATGTAAATTATTGGGCTTTAAGGGAACAATAAGGCAAAATAAATGACGTAAATTAAAAGAGAAAAATGGAATAAATAAAGATGGTTGAGCAGAAAAAGAAATGGGGAAAAAATTTAAATATTTCCATGGATATATTAAAGATTTTCATTCCTGAAAATGTTTTCTCAAATCAAAGATCCAGAAACTTTTAAAACAAAATAAATTTGTGCAGCGATTCCTCCTCTCTTCAAAGTGTCAAAGGTCAACAGCGGCTCGATGAGGTGAGCTCAGCTCAACAGATGAATCGATTGAACCCGAGACGGCTGAAGTCGCGACGCGAATACCAAAAAGGAAGAAACGGATTTCTGCCGCCAGGCGGGAGAAAAGAATCCCTCTGCTTCGCTTCCCAGCAGGCGCTCAGCGACTTCCTGCTCCAGAAAAGCTTCGTTAAAGACGACTTCATAAAACGCCGTTCAGGCAGAACCGCCAGAGCAGAGCTTGGTAATGACTGGCAGCAGCCGGCGGCAATGCCACATCAACACCGACGGGATTTCAGCAGGAAGTAAAAGTCTGGACTTCAAAAGGCTGAAGCAGAAAGAAATGTTGAACATTCATGAAGTTTATTTATTGTGTTTGACCTGAAACAGAGAATTTCTGTCAGACATGATGAGGCTCCAGCAGAGGAAGATCGGAAAATCTGGGAGGTTTTACTGCTCTGCAGGCGCTAATGGCAAGCTGGCCTAGCGCACCGTCAAGCTGGCCTAGCGCAGCTTCAAGCCGGCCTAGCGCAGCTTCAAGCCGGCCTAGCGCAGCGTCAAGCTAGCCTAGCGCACCGTCAAGCTGGCCTAGCGCACCGTCAAGCCGGCCTAGCGCACCGTCAAGCCGGCCTAGCGCACCGTCAAGCCGGCCTAGCGCACCGTCAAGCCGGCCTAGCGCACCGTCAAGCCGGCCTAGCGCACCGTCAAGCCGGCCTAGCGCACCGTCAAGCCGGCCTAGCGCACCGTCAAGCCGGCCTAGCGCACCGTCAAGCCGGCCTAGCGCACCGTCAAGCCGGCCTAGCGCACCGTCAAGCCGGCCTAGCGCACCGTCAAGCCGGCCTAGCGCACCGTCAAGCCGGCCTAGCGCACCGTCAAGCCGGCCTAGCGCACCGTCAAGCCGGCCTAGCGCACCGTCAAGCCGGCCTAGCGCACCGTCAAGCCGGCCTAGCGCACCGTCAAGCTGGCCTAGCGCACCGTCAAGCTGGCCTAGCGCACCGTCAAGCTGGCCTAGCGCACCGTCAAGCTGGCCTAGCGCAGCTTCAAGCTGGCCTAGCGCACCGTCAAGCTGGCCTGGCGCAGCTTCAAGCTGGCCTAGCGCACCGTCAAGCTGGCCTAGCGCACCGTCAAGCTGGCCTAGCGCACCGTCAAGCTGGCCTAGCGCACCGTCAAGCTGGCCTAGCGCACCGTCAAGCTGGCCTAGCGCAGCTTCAAGCTGGCCTAGCGCAGCTTCAAGCTGGCCTAGCGCACCGTCAAGCTGGCCTAGCGCAGCTTCAAGCTGGCCTAGCGCACCGTCAAGCTGGCCTAGCGCACCGTCAAGCTGGCCTAGCGCAGCTTCAAGCTGGCCTAGCGCGCCGTCAAGCTGGCCTAGCGCACCGTCAAGATGCAGCTCTAAAAGTCAACGTTTTCATTGATCAACAAGATTCTGGGATCATTTATTTTATATCTGATCCGTTTCCCTGGCAACACTGGTCGAGTCCATTTGAACTGGTAAAATTTATTTGAACTGGTTGGTTTAAAGAATCCAGTCCTTCCAGTCTGAAGGATTTTTTTTGTAAAGGATAATTAAGAGAAACTTTGTTTCTGGTACAAACGTTTGACTTCTACCATTTTGTTATTTTATGTGTAAAAATTTATTCCAATTTATTTGGAAAGTGGTATGTCTTAATTACATTATCTGGTAAAATTAAAAACAATTCAGTTGGATTTAAAACATTTTTAAATAAATCATCTGAAAAACAAACACGGTAAAACATTTACTTAATACTTGAATGTTATTGATCTTTTGAGAAAAACGTTTGTCGATTTTATGTATTTTGATCGAGTACATGAAACAAGACAAGAGTAAAATTGGTCTAATTTATTCAAGAATCTTTAGTTGTGTGATTAATATAATTTACTAGATACACGTTAGGAGCTTGTATCTACTGGAAAATGTTAGTGGAAAATTTACAAGGATTTTTAAAAAGTACATCACATTTTTCAGGCCAACATTACCGTCAGTAATCTGAATCGTTCGGCGTTTATGATGAAAATCTGACCTTCGACTGTAACTGGGAGCTGAATGAAAACAAACGACTGGATTCAGTTGTTTGTTTTGCCCAGCAGCAGAAAACGAGCTTCATGCCTTCGATACGGTAACCGAGGCAATGCATCAGGTTTAGTGTCCGCTGACGAATCTGCGAGGAGAGGACGGCATAATCCCGACGCGCAGCAGAAGACTGATGGATTACAGCGACCAGATTCATCCAGCCGGCCGAGGGAAACGATTACAGCCGATCGAATCTGTCATCAGTCAACGCAGCAGGACGGAGATGCAAATACCTGCAGCGCTGCAAAATGTAAAGTAAGTTCCAACATGCTGAAACCCAGACGACCTCTTCGTCATTCATCCGGTCACCAGCCGGAGACCAGATGGGCTGAATGTTGAGACTTTTCATTCACGAACCGTGAATCTTTCTGAGGTGAAACGAAGGCGATGCTGAAGGCAGCAGGTTGTGTTCACTGACTGAACAAAGACAATTCAGAACATTTTGAACTCTTCATAGTTTTGTTTAAAGCATTTCTGTTGAGCAGAAGTATCTTGATCTGAAGCTTTAACTCTGGGTTCAACCAATGTGACCTTCAGGACCCTGAACACATGAACCAGCTCCTCCTTCATGACTTAATCATCTGATGCAGGCGACGCCGAGAAACGCCCGACACGACGCCCGACACGACGCCCGACACGACGCCAACCTTCCAGGACCTGAGTGAAATTTGTGCGTTGCCTGAAGGTTAATGGACCTACCGGCGTTCAGGAATCCTCGCCTGTTTGAGGCCCGGTTGTAGTTGAACGCTCCGTCCGCCTCGGTTTGAGGAACCTGCCTGTATCTCCTCAAAACGTCGCAGAGAGACGACATGATGGGAAAAGGTTTCACTCCTCAGGCAGACGGTGACAGTAACTCTGCTGCAGATCTTCAGAAGACGGTAACATCTAAAACCATGCAGATCCTGGTTTCTACCTCCCCAGGTGAGACCATGTGTCTATCTGCCACACCTTCAGACTCTGCTGCCGGTCCGGCTTCACCTGCGTGACGGACGGCAGGCTCAGCCAATCGGCTCGAGCCGTGGCCCGTGTGACTCGGATCACCTGGAGTTACCTCGCTGCGCGAGGCGGAAGACGAGCCTCTGCTCGGTGGTGCCGGCCCGGCCGCGGCGGCTCGGGTTACCGGCCGCGTTGTTCACAGGAAAATGTGATCCAACACGAGGTGAAGGGAAACTCTGGAACCGGAGAGGCTTCGGCTCTACGCAGAGCGGCCGATTTCCACGCAAATCAGATGCAAACCATAAACAAATGATGACAAACGTTCATATCTGACTGATCAGGGTCCAAACTTTTTGAGTTTTGACTGTAACAAAGCTTCAGTTTTAATTCCTGACCTCTGAAAAATCTGCAAAAAATTAACCAGACTGAACTACTTAGAACCGAAGTTTTAAAGTAGTTTTAAGCAACTGAGATGTTTTTCCTTTATGTATGTAAATAATAATTACTGAAGGTTAATTTTATTTAATCAGTGCTGGAAACGCACCTGGTCTCAACCTGTAGAGTTTATTAACTTTTACATCCAAAATTAAAACATGTAGCCAAATCTCCACAGCAAAACGTCACCTTTTAATCCAAATGTCCAGTAGATGCAAGAAGCCTGGCTTTGAATCGAATCGTGGCGATTGGTGCCTTTGCTGTAGACGTGTCATGTTCAGGAGATGTTGGATTTCTGCTCAGCACCATCCATGTTTTAAAACGAGCTCCTCACCTCCTGGTGACGTTTCCACATCCTGAAGTTATGTTTGTCTTCAGGACAGGATCTGGGATCATGTCCAGCTTAGCGGTGATTGGCAACAACCAGGACAAAACGTCTCCATCTTAACAGTCGAGAGGAATTTGTTAATTGGGAGTTTTTGATGTTCACAGCCAAACAAACTATGTGAAAAAATAGAATTTATCTTTGTCAGGTTTTGATTCTCCAACCTTTGGAGTCTGACTTGGATTTTTTCAGGTTTACCGCCAGAACAAAACAATGACTAAAACTCTGAAACCTCCTCACATCCAGAGTAAAACCACTTGCTGCTTGTTCCTGGTAGAAACCGGTTTTAAACAAACACTGGAGCACAGCGTTGGAGCAAAGCTCCCCCAGCGGAGCCAGGCGCTTTAATCTAAGCCCAAACCACCAGAGGCACATAATCTAAAAGATTAAACGTGGCTCCCCTCCTGCTGGTTAATACCTCCAACAGGACCAGAGAAACCAAACAGCCTCTCTGTGCTCGGCTCGGTGGGCGGAGAGGAGACTTCAGGTCGTCCATGAAGATCGACGATTTCCGTGGGAC